CCCACCGCCACCTCCGCTACCCCACCGCCACCTCGGCTACCCCACCGCCACCTCCGCTACCCCACCATCACCTCCGCTACCCTCACCACCAGCACCATCTTTGTTGTGGTAATAACAGCCAGTGTTTATACAGCACGGGCTGGCTTGAGAGGAACTTCCCTACATACACACATTATTCAATAAAGATCTCAATGTTCTTTCTGGCTTGCGACATGATTGATAGTGTGCTTCTGAATTGCATTTTTAAGTAAGTTAGAGCAAAGCTGTTTAAGCCTCTAAATAAGTTTGAAGAATTACATATACTGAAATTGTCAAGATCCCTGCCATTTTCTAAGAAGATGAAATTATCAGAAACACAGCAGATTTTAGTTTTTACTTCATGCATAGGGCACAATTACGTCCCACTGGAGGTATTTTGACATAAACACACACACACCCACACCAGAAGGCCTTTTGAATGATTCTCTTGGGCAAGACAGTTAAAGAGAAACATTACATAATAATAATGCAGTCAATCTCACAACTATTCTTTAATCTCAGTTTATCATCCCAGATAGCTGGTGATGTGGCTACCCAGGGCGATGAACGGGTCCGCTGAATGCGGTGTCACAACTTGTTCAGCAGAATCAGTACAAACTAGATCCTCTGCCGAATGTCTATACTCCAAGGACTCAGAGTTCCAGTTCATACCTTTCTTTATTCCAGTTCATCTATGACTGCAGCAACACGTATGGGGGGAGGCAGTGAATGTGAATAATAACCTATAGCCCACGCCTTGAATTAAGTTCCCCATTCAGGACACATTTCAGGAGCAGCGGTGAGGTGCTCCCTTGTAGGGTCTGCATGTGGAGGCAGAACGTGGTCCTGGGGGCAGGGATAAGAAACATCTGTTTATTATACTTTCCTTTATGCCGCTGAGCAGAGTTAACATGGAAAACACTGCCGCTGGGGTAAATGCATTTGCTATTAGAAAAATTTATCTTAGCTGTCCTAGTTTGGAAGGCATTTTCATAAATCATGCAATTTGTCTGCTGTGCTTCCCTGCAGTCTTCACCTAAATACTACTGGAGAACTCTGCCTCCTGCTCTTCACGTTCCTCTCCTAAGAGGGTCTCAGTGTCTGGACTGCACCCTTTGCACCCGGCTTTATGAACGATCTGACCTGACCTTGTTCTATTACAGGCCTCTTCTTCATAGCCTATTTTCACCAGGGACCCGTCTCCATGCTCATGTGGTAAAGAGGCTGTGAGGTCCCCGTTCAAAGGTCCTCAGGGCTCTGGCAGCTCTGCTTTGAAGGTATAACTCCCTCTACAGCCACATCCCCACGTCTTCTTTCTTGGAGGAGGGGCCATCCAGGGAGAGGGTGAGGTAAGGAGAGCTTGGAGGGGGTTGTGGATGCCTCAAAAGAGGCACAGAGAGAGTATATCATGTGTACAGAGTATACAGGACTTAAGGGTAAGCCCTGTTATCAGATGGGCTGGGCACGGCACGGCAGAGGGGGCAGAGACAGGCACCCATTGTACCAATTCTGGCCTCCACAGAGTCCTGGCTGATGAGAAAGGAAGACGGGGGGTGTCAGTGAGATGGCGAGGGAAAACGAGCATAGAAGACAAAAGCCCCTCAGGGAAACTGCGGTCATCAGCTCGAAGGAAGCTTCTTGGGGGTATGTCATGGTAAGTGGTTGGTATCACGGCAGGAGGAGGAAATATCTCAACAGTAGTTTCATGGGGTTTCCCTGAAATCCTCCTCCTACCCTTTCCCCTCCCCTCCTCTCCCCTCCCCTCTCTCACTTCCCCTCTGTAGCTTCCCTTCCCTTCCTCCTTCTGTTCAGTTCCCTCCGTTCCTAATCCACAGGGCCTGACTACACTGCCCCCACCATCTTAAAGTCCCCTCCCCAATGGGTTATGTCTACAAGGAAGAAATATGTGGGACTCCTCTCTAATTTGAAAGAGTATTTTGAACTGGGCAAATGAGAGAGAGGAAAGGACTGACATAAAACATGTGAAGAAAACATTTTCTCTTAGTTATGCCTCCAATCTCTGTTCCAATTCTTCAGAATCACCAACGTTAAGCTCTCAAGTGACCAGACAGCTGCTAAGTCCTGCTGAGCACCAAGGCACAGCCCCATGAAGGCTGATGCCCCAGCCCTCCACGCTGTTGCGTCCCAGGAGGGGGTGCACAGTAGGGCGGGCGCTCACCTGTCATGGCATCTTTCCTGGAAGTGTGTTCGCCTTTCGCTCCATGGTAGGTGGCATTGCTGCCGGTGCACTCGTAGTCTGTTTTCCTTTCCTTGAGGCTGATCATTTCCCGAGGTGAAGCTGGGGCACTTGCTACGTAAAGAAATCAAAAGGGTGATTTTCTGTGTCTCATTCCATAGCGTGTGGACCTTCCACACAGTCAGGTCCTCAGTGTGCATGGCCTCACATCTCTCAATACCGACGCGAGGACCTGATTTTGTTTGTTTGTTTTCTAATTTTGGCTCTTGTGCCTACCCCATTCCCTCACCTGTGACAACTGGTACTTTATAGTTAGGGAACATGTGATTTGGAGGCTGGCAGCTGGGGACCACATCCTGAGGCCATCTTCCTTAGAGAGATCACAGAGGGGACATGACCTGCCTAAGGTGTGGGGGGCAGTTTAGGAATGAGACCCCTCTTGGTTTCTTCCTTTCTCTTCTCTTTTCCTTCCCTCTCCTTCCCACACTCCTTCCTTAATTAGATGTATTTCAGAAGATCTATTACTGATATTGACTAATCCTTGATTAAAATAAATGCAGTTTTACTTAAACACTGAGTCACCTAGAAACTGCCTTTTAAAAAGTCAGAGGAAACAGCTCTCTACAAAGGATGATTTGTGGGGCAGAAATCACCAAGCCAATCAAGACCTTGTTTGTCCATGGCTGGGGTGGGCTGGGGAGGGGCATGGAGACAGCTCTGGTTCCCGCTAGGGCATCCTTGCCCCAGCCCTTTGCATCAAACCCCGTTAATCTCTGAGCCCCCCTTACACGCTGCCACTCACTGCCTGTCCGACTGGGAGGCTGAGCTCCGCTGCTCCTCTTGCACCCATGTCTAAAGTCCCGGGTTGTAATTGGAGGATCCTCCTGGGAAATTCCAGGAGTCCTTAACAAACTGGTATTAGAAGAGAGGAAAAGCTGAACTCAGAGGCGAGGAAGGCAGTAAAAGGAGGCTGAAGTTTCATGAGAGATTGAACAGATTGGCAGCAACTCAACCTTCCTGCCAGTGGAGGGGGGCCCTGGAGAGGTGGGCAGCAGCCGTGCGTCTGGGTGAGGGGCAGCTGGCCATGTGCCCCACTCTGCGGGCATCCATTCGCAGTTGTGTCCAGCTCCAAGGGAGCTCAGGCACCGTGTCCCTCTGTCGGGAGGCTCTCCCCAGCTCCCGCAGCCCAGGACAGTGCTTCAGAGCCTTGTTTACCCTCAACACTCACCTGAGAATTTAGGGATGCCTAGAGCCCATCTTGGACCTTTTGAGTCTGAATTTTCAGTGGCGGGCTTCAGCATTCATATTTAACGAGCATACTTGACGACTACTGAGGCTAGGAATCCCTAGAGCACTCTGATTTTTAGGATGAATCCCTCTTTCCTTTGCTAGTATCAAAGCCCCTACCCCACCAAACCTCAGTTTACCTTCTAGCTTATCGTTCACACCCTGTGTAGGGTCCCTTAGCTCCCTGGGTCTGTGGTCCCCTAAAGTACCTCTGTCACTATCTGAATCATGTGATTCAGTTTGTCACCCTTAGTACCTTCTACGTACAAATTCCTGTGCTAGCCACTGTGGGTGGCAGACACACAAATCACACGGCTCTTCCTGAACGTGTGCAGCTCTCAATCCAGTGAGGAAATGGATGTTCAAATAAACTAGAATGAAGGCAGAAGTGCCCAACAGATGCCACAGCCAAGTGCTGGGAAGGTAAACACAGGGGGTTGTTGCCACCCTCTTAAACCTGTCAAAATAAAATCATACCTCACTGCTTAGCTCCTGAAGCCCTCAGGGGCTTTCCATCCTGGATGCCTATTAGAATTCATTACCTGGAGTCCTTTAAAAAATACTGAGGCTTGAACCCCACTGGATGTCAGATGACCAGAAGCCCTGGGTACAAACCCAATGGCAGGCAGGGAGGAAAACCACACAGCTTGGCTAGCCTGTAGTACCCTATCCCTTGTAGGACAAGCCTGGAGCTGAAATGACTTGACCAAAAACTGAATCTCACTCATCCTGAGAACCTGTGCAGGTGGAGAGAGTGCCCAGGCTCTGCTTAGGGAACAGAGGCTCAGGGAGAGGACAGACAAGGGCTGGGATGTGGGCCATGTGTCCCGAATGTGAATCTGGGGAGATGTGAGGGGCAGCCACTGTGCCTTATGAAGACTGGGGTTCTATTGGTTCCAGAGTGGAACCGCTGCAAGAACAACCGCACCCTTAGCAGGCCCAATGGGGCTCTGCATCCGGCTCCTGCCTGCTCGCTGGTGTCTTGCTCACCTCTTCCACCCGCCGCCCCCTTCTCTTCTGTTCACCATCTTATTCTTCCAGGAGAGTCTCTCTTCCTGCCTTTGCCCTTTTTCCTCTGGGTCTTCCCTAATAAAGGTTAGCCTTTTGTGAGTTACTGCCACACAATCAAGAAGGGACAATATTTTAAAGCCTGTTGACCAAAGCTTTTAAAATGAGAATCCAATATTGCCCAGATGGTGGTGGTTATTAAACTACATCAAGTGTGTAATTATCTCCTGAGACCTTGCACACAGTGGTGCTCCAAGTCTCTAGTAAATCAGGATTAAGTTCTGGGAAAAATCAAATCACGCAAACAAGTGTTTATTAGGTGTCTGGATGTGCCTCGCCTCGGAAATCCTGAAGCAGCGCACTGGCTGCATGGCTGGGTGAGCACAGCCCTGCCTGCTCTCGAGAGGGCGGCTTCTCTCTCCCAGCCCTTGCTTCATTCCCATTGCGCTGATTGGCTCACTGTAATTCTTAATAATTACAGCTTTCCAAAAGACACTATCCATATGCTTCCCAGACTCCGTGTGCTTTATCTTTTTAAGCCTGCTGGAATCACGGAGGTAAGAAGCCTAAGGGACCACCCTCCGTGCTTCTGACATGGGTGGGTGTTTGCATGTGTCCATGGCGTTCCTGGCCATCACCCAGGGTTGGGCCAAATGTGATAAGTAATGACAATACACTAAACGGGTCAGCTTTTGCAGAGCTGGGAGCGGGCCCATTTATCTCGGTCAGATATTCGCCATTTGTTGCTCGTCATGTTGACAGTCAGGTCTGGTGTGGAGTGCTGTGACCATGATTCTCGGGGGCAGGAAGACCTCTTTGCTGGGCAATGCTCTCTACCAGGTCCTCCCTGGCACCATTCCAGAGAATAGGATTTCCTCGGCAGGGAGAGGGCAGAGAAGAGTAGGAAGAAAGCTTTCATAAATAAAAGCCTACGTCGCTGTGTCTGTGTGGGGACATAGAACTTGTTATCCCTCTTTCATTCTCAGAACAAAATCAAAATGCAGAAATCAAGATAAAAGTTCTAAAAACTTAAACTGTGAGTAAAACAGCAATCGAGTTTATGCCATTTCTATTACTAAATGGTTCACATTTCCTTTTCACCTTTCCTCTGATCTTTGGTATTCTTTAACATGACTTAAAAAAGGTATCCAATAAAGTATTTTTACAAACAAATAAAAGAAGTTCAAAATTTAAGCAATAGGAATGTGACACTATCAGGAAAATATTAAATGGAATGACTTACAAGTTACGGTTGGCTAAGATAAGAATTTATTAATGGCACCTGCTGGTTTATAGTTAATAATAAAAAGCCAATTGGATATGGAATAGTTATGAAACCATCAATGATATATGTCAAATGTATATCACACTGAAGGAAGAAAGCACATTTGGTCTTCTCTAGTTTTTATCTCAATTATGAGAAAATGCAACTCAAACAATTTTTATTTATTTTGTTATGTATTTGTTTTTTGAGACAGAGTCTCACCCTGTCACCCAGGCTGGGGTGCAGTGGCAGGATCTGAGCTCACTGCAACGTCCACCTCCTAGGTTCTAGGGATTCTCCTGCCTCAGCCACCCAAGTAGCTGGGATTACAGGCATGTGCCACCACGCCCGGCTAATTTTTGTACTTCTAGTAGAGATGCAGTTTTGCCATGTTAGCCAGGCTGGTTTTGAACTCAGGCAATCTGCCTGCCTTGGCCTCCCAAAGTCCTGGGATTACGGGCGTGAGCCGCCACGCCTGGCCTACTCAAACTATTTTAAGTTGGAGAAACTGTCCATGGAAACCCCTGCTTTGCAGACACAGGAGAGATTTCCTTTATACTCGTTCCTCGTTATTTCAGGTCCATTACATGCATTTCATGCATAGGAACCTGCTAGCGAAGGAGATTTGCTCTGAGTTTGTGCATTCAAAACACGGAGTGGCCACCGCAGTACACAGAACAGATGCATTTCAGACTTCTAGTAGACGTCTGAATGGAAGGCTCTCCTCTGAGTGGGGGTTGGCTCAGGGACTGGGAAGGAGGGTCTTTGCTCGAAGAGAAATGAAGCCTGGCTGGCTGGCATAGCAGCCGCTTACCTGAGCGGTTGTTGGGAGACACGCGCACAGGGGAGATGGAGGGCGTGCGGGAGGAGGAATAGGGCCGCTGCCGGTCCCTCTCAATGGTTGAAGACGAGGCTACAAAGTGGTATTGTGACCATCCATCCTGCAAAACACAGCATGCTCCTGTTAGATGGGCAAGACAGGGTGACTCTTCACCTCCTGACAGTTTGAAGTTCCAAGTATCTGGATTTGCAAAATATTTGTGTGTCCAAAGAGGTGTTTGGAGCTCCGCGCCCTCATCGAGGTGAACAGGACAGAATGGGAATGAAGACACGCCTCCCTCCTTCCAGACAGCCTGGCGGGTAGGGCCTGCTCTCCTTCATGAATGTTGAAGAAATGGTCTCTTTACAAACCTGCTCTGCTCAGAAGCTTTGACTTCAATGAAAATATGATGTTCAGAATGTTAGGAGACCCAGAAGCTGTGTATTTTTTGCCTACCTGGTTCCAGCTCTGCCTGGCTCCCTCTTCCACTGCCTTAATATTGTCCACGACGGTTTACCCCTTTGCTCCCAGGACCTATCTGTTCGCAATCAGAATCCAGGGCAGCGTCCTCCTCCCCTGTCCCTTCTAGCCTCTTTCTAGGCTCCAAGTGTCCAGCTCCGCCTGCTTCCAAGCTGGTTTGCTCCAGGAATGATATTTTTCAATATGAAGCATATTCAAAATGCATCCTCCCAAGCCTACATTAGGCTTCCCATATCTAGTTAGTATACAAAAAGCTTCTATACTATTTTCCTTATAAAAACCACATAAATGTATCACAGATTATTTTGTGAATTTACAAAGCATAAACAAGAAAATACAAATAGAACTCCACCCTCTCCACCTGAGAGAACTCCTGTTAACATGTCATGGTATTTCCTTCCAGTCTTTTTTTTTTTTTTTTTAATAGATTTTATTTTTATCAAAGTGACACGTTAAATAGTAGTAACATTATAGCTAAAGAAAAGCAGTCACCTGCTCCACCCCCAATTCCTATTGTACAGAGGCAACTGCTGTCAATTCTCTTAGCTTCTTTCTTTTTCCTGATAACATTTACACTTTTAAGATGTTTAATGCTTTGTTCTCTTGGGATTGTTCAGAGAATCTTGCCACATAGTTGGCACCCAGTAAGGAAGCTGGGCAGTATCTTTTAAAATCATGCACCTCTAATTCTGGCTTATCCTACCAGTCAGGTAGAACAGGAATAATGAGAATTAGACACACAAAGATTAGTCCCGGTGTATCTAATAAGAATTAGACAGGAACACGGAAATGAGCATGCATTTTGTTCTTTATTAACTTCTCATCTATTTACGTTTTCAACGATTCTTGATTGAGTTTTGAGTCCCTTAAAAGTCTAAATATTATCAGAATAAAAAGCTAAAAGAATTGAAAACAGGCACCGCTGTGAAGTGGGAAGCGGGGGTGGGGCAGTGCCTGCTTTCCTTTGCTATAACGTCAGTAGTATTGGACATACTACTCTGATGGAGATAAAATCAAATTAATGGATACTATTATCTCCATTCTACAGGCGGAACTGGGGCCTTTGAAAGTAAGTAGGCCACCCAAAGTCAAACAATACACGAGTTCCAAAAAACATATCAATACTAACATGTGGTATTCTAACAGGTGTTTGGAAGGAAAAACCAAGCAGGATTGGGGATAGAGGAGCGGGGCAGGGATGGGAGAGTGTTGAGGAGGTGGGAGAGTGTGGTGGGGATGGAGGAAAGAGGGCAGGGACAGAGGAAGAGGGGCGGGGATGGAGGAGCAGGGCCGGGGATGGGAGAGTGTTGTGGGGACGAGAAGGGGGTTGGGGATGGAGGAAGGAGGGCGGGGATGGAGGAGCAGGGGTGGGGATGGAGGAGTGATGTGAGAATGGAGGAGTGATGTGGGGATACAGAAGTAGGGGTGAGGACTCTGGCATCTCTATTTTGTGGAGTGGGGTCAGGAGCCTTAACATTGCAGCAGAACCTGGAAATGACAGTGAAGCAGACCCTGGGGACACAGATGGGGATTCCTAGCCGAGGGAAGAACAGATGTGGAGGACCTGGGTGGGAACTGGCTTCGTTGGTGTGAGAACAGTCTCCTGGGACTGAAGAGGAGTGAGCAAGGGGACAGGAAGACAGGAAACCTTTGAGTGTCCAGGACAGTCTGGGGAGGAGTAGCAGCAGCAAAGCCGCTTGGGAAGTCGCTCCCCTAGACAGAGGAGAGATGGCCCAGGCTTGGAGGATGCTGGTGCTGGGAAACGTGCAGATCTGGCATCCATGCCGGAGGGTTTGCTGGTGGCATGGCTACTGGTGTGGGAGAGAGGAAGCAAGCCTTACCGCAATGCTTCTGGTGTGAACTACAGGGGCCTGAGGTGCCCTCCACAGAGACGGGAACAAGGGGAGGGAGGGAAGCAGCTTTAGGGAGTGTGACCAGAACTGCCTCGTTGGGACATATCGGTTACCGAAGAGGGACAGAGCATGAAGCAGGATCTGCAAACTGGAACCTCAGGGCTGGAGGGAGAATTTTGGATGTCAGCATATGGATATTATTCAAAGCAAAGAGAATGGATGCAGACATGAAAGTGAATGCTAATAAAGAACAGCAGAAGGCAGAGGCCGAGTGAACCTGGGGACATTCCAATACTGAGAGGGCGAAAAGAGTATAGGAGGCTTCAGAGCAGGCCCAGAAGGAACCGAGTGAGCTGCAGGGAGAACCAGGAGGGTGTGGTGAGACAGGAGAGCGGATGGGTGAGGAGGAGAAGGCCAAGAACTGCCCGGCGGTCTGGGGGCAAGCAGTCCTCCTGATGGGGACAGAAGGGCTCTCCCTGGTCAGATGGGTAAATGTCTAACTCTAGTGGGCCCCAAAGATAATGAGAATTGATGAAGGGGAGACAGTGAGTACAGACAAGCCTTTGGCAAAGTTTTATTATAAAGGGAAGTGGAGAAATGGGCTTGAAGAGGGTGAGGGGAGAGATGTTTTCATAGATCACTCAGAAGATACTGCAGCATTTCGTGTGCTGATGGGAATGACTCAACGCAGAGAAGAAAAAACCTGGGGACATAGGAGAGAACGGGAAAAATGGCAGGAAGAAAATTCTCAAGACAGAAAAGGTGGATAAAATAAAGTGAGCAGTGGGGTCACTGGCCACGGAAACAGAACAGGAGACAGTCAGATTGTGGCCATGGACATGGGAAGAGACGGGCTGATGGGTGACAGGAAGGCTGTTCACCTTGTTTTTTTCTTTGCATTTTCTCAGGGAAAATGAGAAGTAAAGTCATCTGCTGAGAGTGAGGAAGGGTTGGAGCTTAGCGAATAGAGAGGAAAGGGGAAGGGAAGGGAGGAAGGAAGGGAAAGGGAAGGGAGGAAGGAAGGGGAAGGGAAGGGAGGAAGGAAGGGGAAGGGAAGGGAGGAAGGAGGGGGAAGGAGATGTGAATTGGTTCTTGAGTTGGGGAGGGGAGCAAGCTGACTGGCCAGGACTAGTGGCCCGGCTGTGGCCAGGGCTGGAGGCTGTGGTGATGGACTGAAAAGGAGCTGACTGGCCACATCCATGTGTGCCTCTGTCCAGCCACAGTCAGCTGCCCCAGGGCAGGTGTGGAGTGGGTAGAGTTGATGAGTCATCAGGCAACTTGGAGAGAGGAACAAGGGAATGTCACGGAAGCCCACGGAAGCTGAGCCCAGTAGGGAGGAAAACGTAGGTACTCGAGACCATATGGAGAGCGTAAATTGGTCAGGGTACTGGCGGCTTATGAGGGTCACAGGCTGCTGGGGGGATACTTCACAGGTGTCGGGGGTTTTCTTGAGGGAGGAAAGCAGAGATCCTTCTTGAAAGGGCAATGAGGAGGGGGCAAGAAGGACGACAGCTCCAAGAAGGATGCGTGCTCCACCTCCAGGGCCAGGGACATAAGGGAGGGAAGGAGGGAGGGAGGGAAGGAGGGAGGGAGGGCGGGTGGTAGATGAAACAGCCCTTGAGGGGGGTCAGAGGGGGCAGTGTCCTCAGGGCCGCTGATGTCAGACAGACACGAGATGAGCAGAAGGGGGGCTGCGCAATGGACGCAGGGGATTTTGCTGATCTTTAACCACAGGTTAAAGAAGGAAAAGACGTGGGAGGTGGACAGAAGACAGGTGGAATATATGGGGGATAACTGGCTGCTCAGAGCCTTCGATCCAGGGGTCCAGGTCATGATGGTCATCCCAGGAGGCTTGGGTGATTAGTGAGTTAAGGTAATGAGGATGAAGCGTGTAAGGTGCAAATAAATGCTTCCTTAGGGAAGGGTGGGGGTGTGTCACAGAACGAGCAGATATCACGGCAGGAGACGATGCCTCCACTGGAGTTCTGTGGGTTTCTCTGAAATCTTCTGGAGGGTGGTGGCAAACACAGAGGGGGAGCAGTCTTACCAAAGACACGTGCAGGGCGGAAGACATCTCAAAAATGTATGTGTCCGCTACTTATGTGGGAGAATGATTAAAAAAGAATTTCTAAAAAATCTTTTTTTTTAATTGGAATCCAAAGTCCTGCAAAGGCTGAGTGTGTTAAAAAATCTTTGTCTTTGGAAGGAAATGCTTTGTAGATGACAAAACTCCCAAAAAGGACCAAATGGGGACAGATCATTTTATGTTTGTCTCATTGCAATGTAGAAGGTATGCTTTGGGATTCCAAGTAGTGGCTCGGGACAAAACCTTGGCTTGTTTGGTTACAAATGTGATGATATTCTATGTGTATTAAAGGTGAACAAGGTACTTTACAATATGAATATTGGCTAAACATTTAATATGTTCTAAGACCTAAGGACACGTTAGACGTGAATGTGGCACAACTGCAGGACGGGTTTTCCTTGGCGAGACATCAATACATTAGTTAACACTGCTCTCTTATGCAGCAATTCAGATTTCACGATGTTTAGACTATATTGCAGCCATTCAACTACTTACATTTCTGGAAATGTCAGAAAAGTGAAAGTGATGACAAAATTGATTACAAAGGAATTCTTATATGGATGCACCCAAAAAAGTTCAAATCCTTCATCAGATCCAATAAGGAAAATGCGAATGCCTGGCAGAAGTGTGGTCCCGCAGGTAACCTGTCTGTGGGTGATGGGGTTAGTATACACCTGATGGCGATGACAGCGGAGTGCGGTG